TTGGGCTGCAGATGATGCAGAACGTTTTTGTTTAATTGCATATGTGTTTATGGGCGTCGAAATAAAAGGTTTTTAAGTGCTCCGGACACCCCCGCCATGCTGAAAATGGAATTTACCATGTTGTTAAGGAATGGGGAGGTTGCAGTTTTGGGTCTTAGCATTCAAAAGGGGTCAAACAGAGGGGTGTCTGGTTCCGATAAAAATTTTGGGTGACGGCGTAGCAATGACGGCGCGGGATGACGACGGGGGTAATGGCGCGGGTGACGGTGCAGGCATGGTGGTAAGGAAATAACCATGGTGCAGGCTGTCAGACTGTGAGACACGTTAATCAACAGCCCATACCGAACCAACCGTCAGTAGCCATCAAACACATACAAACATATTACGCAACTTCCATACTACACAAAAACAAATAACCTAAACCAATAGAACACAAAAAACCCGGAGGTTTGAAATCTACGATTTCCCTTGTTTTTTTCTGCTCTTTCCAGACAAACTGCTTTTACAGTACAGATCGCTTGATAAGCATAATCGGGATTCGGGATTTTGTGGGATATCCCGCGGGAGTTTGCGGGATATCCCGATGGCGGCGTGCCAAATGTTTATTTTTACGTCCTGCCGGGCGAGCTGTGCCGGGCCGATGGAGTCTGAAACCGGTCAACTTTGCTACAGTTTTTATTAAATGGTGGTGAAGCACAGGAATGTACGAAAATAATGTGTATAATGTGTTTCTCACGCAGTCATAGTTAAACTGCTTTTTTTCAAAGCTATTGTTCAGCGCAAACTTTAAGAAACTACCGTGAACTAGAGAGGCCGACATTTGCTTGGGAGCAAATACAGCATATTTCAGTCCATCTCCCTCCCACGCAAAAGTGGACTATTCCAAACTTACCCCAGTGTAAAACTGGCAAAGATTCTCAAATAAATGAATTATATAGTAGCTATGTAATTGAGAACAAGATGCAAGAACAAGCACATTGAATCTCGAAAGCTTTACTAATCTTATAACAGGTATGCAAATACTAACAATGATGAGATTTGATACATTTTGAAGGTCTTAGGCACATAAAATTGAATGTGTGGGTCATTACGCACGACTTATGTGCAATGTGACCCCAGGTAACCCGCAATGGAACACGTGTTCCATGGCCAACGGCAGATGGAACAGGCCATTCTTTATATAGAACACTTTTGGCACTTTTTCTGCTGAAAATAGCCATTAAAGTCCCCCAAATGAGTCATTTGGAAGTGGTGTATGCCAAATATGTGACTGTTGTTCTGTGGACACATGTTCAAAGTACCCTTATACCGAATTTCAGATCATTTGGTTGTAAAACCAGGGCTCAGGATCCAAATATCCATTTTTGGCAAAAATATGCCCCAAAAAACCTTCATAAAAATTTTTCAAAGGCATGTATCAAAACAAGTGCTTCTGCAAAAGCTGACCATTTTCGCCGCTTACAGGCTTACAGTTTTTACGAACATTTTCCCCATCCTAGCATTTCAATTTACCTAAGTTATATAAATGGTTCTAGTTCTCATAAACATTGTATATAATGAGAGAACATGCACTTCTATATTTCAACTCTTTAAGTTTAAAACATTACAAAAATCAAGTATATAACAGTTTATAACCTGTTTTCTCTCTTTTAAGAGTCTTTTTAACAGAATAAAAAAATGAGACACAAAAGTACATTTTAACTTAAATTATAAGTAACGTTAATATATATATATATATAATTTTATTCAAAATCTCTTCTATGGCTTTGTCCCCAACATCTAAGTTTACAAACCTCGTGACATTCAACCAGGGNACAATAGCCTATTTTTAAGAATGGGGCTGTATTTACTGAAAGATGATCAACAGGGATAATTCATGTTAATAAACCCTTAATTGCAAAATTGCAATTTATGAGGGACAATTTGACATAATTAAGTGTGAACTAGAAATGCCAACAATTCCTTCGAAGCAAATGTGATATTTCACTCCATCTCCCTCCCCAAACAAAAATAGAAGATTCTAAATAAATCATGCTCCAATTGTACAAGGACAAGGTTTTTGAATCTCGACAGCTTTATTTACAAAAATGGCACTTGGCAATTATCTCCAATTTGTTTTTACAAAGATACAAGGACAAGCACTTAAAATCTCGACAGCTTTACTTTACACTTATCGCAATCTCAAAGTTATATATTGCATGTATCTAAATACTACTAATGACGAGATTGTAACTACTACTATCTGTACCAAAAATACCGTGAACTTTGACCTCCCACTAGCGTTGCAGCACAGTAAAAAAAATCGGGACTTACCGTTAATTAACCCTCAACAGTACACCTTCCCGGACTGATTAATCCGTACACCTGGGGTCCGCGCGGACCCCAAAGCAGTTATTTGCTAATTTTTAGAAATCATCAACATGATACCAGCTCAATTGTTTTGCAAATTGATGTGTGAACCTCTGAGTCCACATTACGTAAAAAGATCATAAGTTTTGACCTTTTCTTTTTTTTTTGCGAAGAAAAAGACAAAAAGAAGAAATTCCCGATTTTTAAACCCTATTCAGACCGAGTGTTTTTTTGAGACCCGCGCCAACTTTAATCTCGGATAGGGACTGAACAGCTTAAGCTAGAACCATCAAATTTGGTGACCTTTCCTGAAATGCATCTGGGAAAAATTCATATTTGTTAAAAGACTTTCGTGTTGCCATGGCAACGGGTTTCTGACAGGCAGTTTTTGGGAAAATCCGTAATTTTGGTTTAAACATTAAAATGTCAGGGTTTTATATCCAATAACACTTCCTTTCTGACGTTATTAACATCTTAAATAATTAAAGATAAGTTAAATCATTAAATATTCATAGTATATGCTAATTTGATGACGTCATCAGTCAAAATACAAGATTGCGGACCACATTACTAGCTCTGACGTCATATGACGTCATAATTACACTAAAATTGTTAGAATTTAATTCTATTAGTACACAATTCTCTGAAAATTTGGTGGCCATACGATAAGTACATAAAAACATATAAAAACGGAAATAAGGTAATGTATAAGAACGCCAGTGTATCCATCATGATCAAAAGCCGGCTGGGGACGCGCAAACCCCAAAGAAAATCAGATATAATTTTTTTTTTTTAAATGGGGGAAACTGAATTTTCTGCACTGTATTAAGGGATAACTTTGTGGGTGACAATTACCTGAAATTTCAGAAAAAAAATCTTTAGAAACAAGAAAAATATTACAGAATATATAGTGCTGGGGTCCGCAGGTGTACTGTTTAGGGTTAATTTACAGGGTATATTTGATTAGTTTCCAGCTGTTTTGTATGATTGTCGTAAACGAAAACCGATGCGCGCACATATGTCATCCATATAATCAAATCAACATGACGTTATTTACAATCACATAAACTATGAAACCATACATTGAATAAGCTATACATATATTATGATTATCATATAAAACCATGCATTGAATAAGCTATACATATATTATGATTATCATATAAAACCATGCATTGAATAAGCTATACATATATTGTGATTATTATAAGCTTTATTTTGAAAATGAGGCCGGTAAGCTAATTACATGCCTAGGGGCAATTTATCCACTTTACCTCTACGAAATTCCGGGTCATTTTGCTCCAAAATAAAGGAATTGAATCAATTTAAAGAAATGGCAGGAGATGAAAAAAAAAAGAAACATTTGGAAAAACAGTATTTCACTTCATACTATTCATGAAGTGAAATAGTAATGTATTATCATGTCATAATCCAAACACCTGAACAAGATGCCTTTAGGCAGCTTTGTCAATGACCTTTGACCCCAAGTATATGGGCAACTATGTCTAGGGTCACAATTTTGTTTTAGTTTTCTAGGTGGAGTTTATTCAAATGGCAGCAGAAAACTCAAACATATTACCTGGAAGAAAAATTGACGACAGCAAAAGACTCACATGAAAAATCATGTTTTGGAATGGACCACATTTTGGAAGTAAGTTGCACTTTATTTAATTTTAGTCCAAATCATGATTTGGAATGGAATGCGTTTTGGAATGCAACATAGTCAGTTTTGGTGCCATACGGTGGTTTATGGGTTCAAGGCACTACTTAAAACTATTCTACAATAATCATGGATCGCCTTTAAACAATTGTGTTTCAAACGTTTAACATGTTTTGGCGGATGTATGTGACAGTCAAACTCTTTTTACTATATTGCTGTCTAGACTTGAAGTAAACATAAAGCGCCCCTCCCCCGCTGGCCCCAGCGTGGCCAAAAATGAAAGGTCTGACTATGTTTGAATTGTTTGTGTGTTTTTCATTTCCGGCAAACTGCCCTTAGACGCAACACACCTGCATTGTACATGTAAGTACAAGCTGCATAAGACAAGTCTGTTAGTTTTGAACCACTCACACCAAGAAGGACCCTACTCTTTAAAGAAAAACTGGTCGGATCATATTGAGAGCAAGAGAAAAGATACTTACAGATGTAAATTGTATTGGCAGGGAACTTAGACCGTAGCCACGTTTTGTTGTAGACCATGTGGTTGAACAGCACGTCATAATGTTCATCCGGGGTGTGGATATAATCTGTTTCAGCTGGAGGGAATGGCCAGGAGACGTAACCCCCCGCTTTAGCCACCAGCCCTGTGAGGTTGTGATAGATGGCGTATCTTTGGAACGGGAGTACACTGGTCGTACTCCCAGTTTTGTGCGTTTTTATGAACACGAATTTTTGTTTTGGCATCAAACAAGCACGTGGATCCCAGCTGGAAGCCGCTGGTCTTTTGGCTGAGGGTGGCCTGTTTCCTTTTACCGATCCCTTTATCTTTCCCTTCGGAACGGAACGGCTGTTGTAAAACGTCATGTTGCTCTGTGGACAGACACGTTAACATTTGTCATATACACGTACTTTAAAAACAAGGACATTTATAAAAACTGGATCATTTTAACGGAAAATTACATCTATCTAGTAATATCCTTTATTGCTTTATACAAAAAGTTTGCCCTAGGCAAATTGCTAGAGGAAAGTATAATGTACTTACGTTGATAAAAAAGACCAATAGTAAGCACAACACTACAGTGGCAGATCCTTTCCAAATGAGTTTCATTTTAGATTCCGGCTGTCGGTTGCTGTCCGTATGATTTTAGGCGTCAACCACAGGTTGCATATATCTATAGTAAAAATTGACTCACTTCAAAAGACAGAAATCACATCCTTATATACATATTAAGCAAACCCTGCAGTTTTACCAACATAGCATTGGCACGGTCACAATCTTTCAACAGTAATACACTGTGGTCTGCTATTATTTAGCAGATTTTTTTTGTCATAAACACCGATGACATTGTGGCAATATGTAAAAAAAACCCATATCTTCCAGCAATGCAGAATTGAATCTGGGGAGAGGGGCACACGTACTTTCTTTATCTCTGTCTGGTTCCATCTTTTTTTTGTTGCAAAAGCGTTTTATTCTAAAAGTTGGCCATCATTACCGTCGAATTACACGTTACAAAATTCCCAAGTTTACCTTGATTTTTACTTAGAGTCTGACATAAGTTATCAACGTATACAAAGAGAGGAGACCAGCGCTGCTGCTGTATCTGACCCTAACTGCATTCTTGGATTTGAATCAACCATTGGGGAGTTTAAAAATATCACATTATACATTATTATCCGGCCTAGAAAGTTAAGAAGAAAGTTATTACATCATTTTAATATAAAATTATCTTCCTTAAACTTTTTAGACAAAGAAATCATTAAATTTTAAGGATTTCAAGTATCACAAGTTTGCTTGTTCGTGTTTGTAAACCTGCATTTCAGTTGCTGTCATTGACGAAAGGTAGTGGATGCTACCTGAAACGTCTAACCGATTCCCAAAATCATATTCAGCTGCTTAAAAGTGTTAACTTAATAAACGGCATTTTCTTCTTTTTTCGTAACAACTAGAGTTCGGAAGACTCATGCCTTCGACAGTGTGATATTGTTTTGGTGGGTGTTGTGTGTATGTATAGTGTAGGCTTTTTGAAGATGATTATCGTAGTTATAGTGGTCAGAGAGTCTTTTTGTGAACGAAGCAACATACTATTGACCTAGCCTGTACCATGTCTTTCTACAGAAATACGGAATGTAGAATTCGTCATTTGGTACAGGGGTGCCTTGAGCATATGCTCAAAGAATGACATTTGCAACTTTGGCATACATCACTTGAAAATGGTGTGAAACAGGTCTTTTGTGCTATTTTCAGACAAAAAATGTACATTTTTGGCTCCTGTGACCTAATATTACAACCAAATGACCTAAAATTTCTTATAGGAGTGCCTTTGACGAATGCCCAAAGAACAATATTCACATTTTTGGTAAACACTACTTTGAATTTGTGTAAAATAATTACCTCCGGGGAAGGAGATNTGTTCAAGACAAATTAAGTTTGTTTTGTCAGCAGCTTTGTTATGCAACATTAATAGAACTATGATTTTGAAATTAGCAACCATAATGGAAAGTATACAAACGTCCAAGGCATAAATGGTAAAAAGTGCACTCGCAACAACGACATCTAGCGACATGCGGCAACTCAGCATGTCTGCATGGCCGTCGCAACAACGACATCTAGCGACATGCGGTGACTTAGCATGTCTGCATGGCCGTTGAAGGGTGGAACCGTTGATCCATCCATCCAATCTCAATCTCGTCTGAGTTACCATTTTCGCGCATGCGAAAATGGTAAAAAATGAAAAAATGCCTGGGGGTATTGGCCCACTCTACCTCCATGCCAAATTTCAAGTCATTTGGCTGAATGATGGCGGAGTTGAATCCCTTTGACTGTGTGGCAGGAGGAGGAGAAGAAGAAGAAGAAGGAGAAACATCAGAGAACACAATATATTTCATCCATACCACGGTATGGACTGAAATATAATGAATACAATGTAACGTGTAGTAATCCCTTCGTCTCCGGTGAATTCGGCAAGACTCAAATTACCAAGAAATATAAATTATGAGGCGTACCGGCAGTAGTTTGTGGTTGTTGTGGTTGTTGTGTTTTATAATCTTGTAGCTGTTGAGGTCTTCTCATGGTTAGCTTGCGTCAAGAAGTCTCCGTATTAGTATTAAGAATTGCGACAATTAAAAGCTTGCCCATCAAAATCCCGGGGCGTGCGCCCCCCCCCCTCCCCAAAAACTCTTGCATCATAACAACGACCATGTCCATAATTTCATGCTATTACCCTGAAAGCGAAGTACTCCCACACGGCTGGCAAAGTTTCTTTCGGTAGGAAAACATTCTACTTCTGTCAGCTGCGGGGTCAGCCAGCTAGATGAAAACGAAATCGATTTTTTAACAGAACAACGCTATAACGTAGCGCACGTCCAAGACACGGGAGAACCCGAAAAAAAATAAACACGGGAGAACCCGATCTAAACGTGTTTATGCAAAATTTGACGCAGATTAATTCGTTCTCAGACCATAAAACTTGAAATTCACTCGGTACACTCCGTGGAACTAGCCTCCTCACATGTGAAAACGTTGTTTTGGGATCAACTCTTTGAGGTCGCAGAACACAGTATTAATGGGTGACCCCCGGGGTCTATGACGCGGGTATAGAAAGTCGTGCAGACAGACCTCTTGCATCCTGGCTAAAGCGACTTATGTGAGAGGTAGCCATGAATGAACTGCACTGTGTGGTAAGGAAAGGTATCGGCTTGTACACCGTATGAGTTGGATTGTGAAGATTTCCCTGTTCGTGTATAAATGCGCGGCATTATGCAACAACGTTCCAGGGTGAGCCGGCTGTAGTTCCGTTGACCCCGGTAGAGGGCCAAATCAAAGTGGTCGTCATTATGTTAAAAAACGATAGCTTTTTTTTAGAATATACCGTATATTTCAACATATAAATTGGCCGTGATTGTCTAGTGAACCCTACTATAATTTTTACCGCGTCGAAAGGAGTCACCTCGGGGTGCTTCCATAATGCTAACTGCCTGGAATTTCATACTTGGGGTTGCTGGTGTCTTTTCCAAATTAAAAGTGACCAGTGTTACTACAGTAACGTACGGACCTCCCACGACGCCCATTTCCGAACTTGATCTTGCTATCGTCAACGGTAACTTGCTCGCAAAAAATCGTGAACATCCATTTGCAGATTCTCAAATTATCCCGCTAACAACAATAACGACCACCACAAAAGGTCAAATTCAATGACATGGGAACCCCCCACGAGGCCCATATCCGAACTTTACCTCCGTATCGAAGGCAACAACAATCCCTCAACCGGTTCTTGAGCTATCCTACTTCAAACATTTTCAAACAAATGCCTCTGCATTTCCCAAACAAGCTGCTACGGGGCCCAAACTTACGGCACTTCTTTCTGAGCACAAGAGCTACCTACCATTTAAAAATCATGACCCTAGCACGTCCAAATCACGAGATTTTAAAACCAGAAGTTTCGCTGCAGTACTTTCTAATTCAATGACGTGGGGACCCCCCACGAAGCCCGTATCCGAACTTGACCTTGGTATTTTCAATGGTAACTTGCGAACTAAAAGCATGAACATCCATTTAAAGATTCTCGAGTTATCTTGTACACAAGAAAAAACACAAAAAACAAAGGTCAACTGCAGTGACATAGAAACCCCCACGGGGCTCATCTTTGAACTTGACCTCGGCATTCTCAACGGTAACTTGTCCACTAAAAATCATGAACATCCATTCAAGGATACTCGAGATATCCTGTACACAAGGAAAAAACACCAAAAACCAAGGTAAACTACAGTGACATAGGAACCCCCCACGAAGCCCATTTTTGGCCTTGACAATGGCCACCCCCGAGACAACCTGCCTGCCAAAAATCGTGAACCACGGAATATGCCTTCAAACTTTACCGTGTATAATCTGCAAAACAGGCCGAAAGCGATTTCATAGCCTTCTCGTCGAAGGCAAATATTCTTAAAAACAACATAGGGATCTTTCGTAAAGTGTTCTACGGTTATTTTAGTTTGAGGATTTTACGGGGAACAGAGAAAATGTATTCTTTTTTTGCCTGAAACTTTACTACGCTGCTGGGTTTTTTTTTATATTCAAATGCACGGCGGTCTGTCACTACGGGTACGGCATTCTTTCCCATTGCTAGGCGCGTTCGAAAAGTTTCGGGTTACAAGACGCTATTCAAGCTTGTTTTGTACTAACCGTAAAACATTTGAAAAAAAAAACAAATAGCATTTTGTGGTAAATTTCGTCAAATTAAAATGAAATTATCGTCTTAACATCCTTTAAATGTTAGCTTTTTATGTCAAACCACTGATTTTTTTTAAATTTTGCTCAGAAAGACGATTATTTTCGGGTTTCTGAGCACAAGTCATGTCACGTTTTTAGGCAAACATCGTTTAAACCTGGCAACGTATATTACCCCAGATCCTCGATTTTATATTTTTCGCTGACTAGGAATAAGATCAAAAATCATGTTTTAGGGATTTTTTAATTTCTGATTTTAAGTCTAGTTTTTGTCGACTTATTGGTAAAAATAATGCATTTTTTTTTACATTTTTCTCACTAAATTACCAATAATTCCGAATTGAGGCCATTTTTCACAAATCCCTTAAACACGATTTTCGGGACAACTACGACAGTCATTTTGAGCCGTAAATTGGGTATGTTTGACTCTCCATGTTTCCAGGTTTAAACGAGTTTTGCAGACATGCCATATCGGCGGCAGAAAGTGTACATTGTGTTATTCATACAGGTGTAAAGAATCATTACAGTATTTAAGGTCACATGTTACGTACCCACCAAAAATCATAGCGGACATGTATTGTCCAGGAAACTGTATCTATAGAAAAGTGTTGTTTTTTATCTGTTGCGAGG